TTCAAATCCCTGAGGGATACGCCATGCATTCGCCGTCACCTAGCATCGTATAAGATGAATGAAAGCATCTCAGGCCTTTACCATGACTCGCGGTGGCCTATAGATTTATCAGTCATTGCTGATATCTTCTCATATGAGTCTGGTACCAATTCACCATCGACAGCAGAGAAACGGAAGGCTTGATCAGCTTCAAACAAGAAATTAAACCATCGACCATCACTTGATCATTCATGTGTCGCGTAGAGCACCTCTAATCACTGCGCCACACGCGCTCAAATATTCAAGACTCCATAAAAGCTGTACTTCTTCCTACTTCTCGTCGGCATGAGGTGCAATGAATATCGTGACTGTTGTTTCTTAGAGGAAGTGTTCAGCGTCACATGCCCGAGTCAAGGATTCGATCTCGCGCTCATGGCTCATCACGTCACTTATCCCTCTGGAGTCGGTGAATTGGCACCAGACTGGTCTCAGACTTGTCTGGGAGGATAAGCAGCACTGACTCGGTTCAGCGGGAGTCCACCGCGAGTCATTATAAAGGCCAGATATGCATTCAATCACCTCAAATGAAGTTAAAAATTGAAGTCGGATTCATGGCGCATTTCTCAGGGATTGATCAACTCCGACAGCTTTATCCTTTATAATGACAAATCAAAAAACAGAATATGAAGATATGAAATCCGTCCAAAACTCACCTGCTTCGACAGCGTTCATAAATTCTCCAGTTGAGAAGGAGGAGTAACTCAAGTGTGATCGCGTCAACTACGTCGGTCGCCCAGATCACATTCCACATTACTAACATTTGTTTTTCACTTGTTTATGATCAAACTGTTCTGTACAAATCAAAAAAGACAAGAGTTTTTCTAAGTCTCGTCATAGGAGAACTTCCTTTGAATATTTCTCGAGAAACTACTAAGATTGAAGGTTATCGAATATTTTGAGTTAGTTTGAATATTTGCAGAGTGTGTCGACCAGTTTTGCCCTATCGGAACATTCTGCGACCAACGGGTCGGACCATGTAAAAGGCCACCTTGCCGGCCTATCCTTCTTTGCGTTCCCGACATATTCAATGGTCCGATTTTTTCAGGTACCGGTCGCCTAACTCTTCAATGATTGGATTATTTGAAGGTTGTGCGGGGATCACATGTCCTGCTGGCCAAATATGTGTGGCAAGATCGCGACCGTGCATTGCAAAGTCATGCAAGAAATCGCCCTCCTGCGTAAAACCTGGAAGTATGTCAAACTTTTTACCAAAGTTATTGCTTCATTGTCCACCTGACATCTATTGTTAAAGCTTTTTGTGCTCCGAATCTTCTTTAATATTTTTTGCATAAAAAGGAGCAGCCTTATGGAACAGTCTTAGAGTTTTTAATTAATTGGTAACACAAGCCATTTTCCCTGCAGAATGAAACCGTTTCTAAAAATATTTTAGCATGCGATGCATTGATATGTCTGCCATCGCAGAAGTGTGTAGCAGATCCTACTCCTAAATGTATCACTGATATTCCGACTGTGTCTAGTGTCATTGGCAACGCTACACTCGCCACCGGAACATAGTTGGTTACCGTTCGATATGCCATCTAACGCTGTCTAGAAAAGGATAAATTCCTCAGAGCCAATCAATCCTTGAAAGGCGCGTCATGCATTCGATTTCACTTAGCGTCATTAAAGGTGATTGACTGCATATTTAGCCCTCATAGCGACTTGTATTGGCCTATTCATGTATCAAGTCAGTGCCGCTATCCTATCAGACAAGTCTGGCAATGAATCGCCGACTTCGGGTAGATGGAAAATTTGGTGAGTCCCAAGCGTCAGATCGAACCATTCATCACGTGTGTAGCGGAGTACCTTGAGCCACTGCACCACCCGTTCTCCTAAGAGCTCGATCATCTATAAGAACGATGAGCAATATCCATGATGCAAATATCTCGATGTAACATGTTTTATATAGGTCTCATCTGCTAATTCAAATGTGCTAAGCCCTCGAAGTACTGCTTTTATCTCGATTCGATCAGCTACTTCTTACATTTGATTCAGCCAACCGTGATTCGCTTGAGATTTTCAACTGATTAATTACTCATAAGTTTTACATGCATTCAAGGATTACAAATTTCTTCAAAAATTGTGGATTCGAACCATAGCGTTTTTCTTCGCCTACATCACTTCGCCTGTGCTCTTCATACTGCTTTCTCCATTTGCTCTTGATCTGAGTTCAAACATGGCCCTGTTAGCTTTGGATTAATTTATGGGTTTTTACTTACTTGCTGACCTGAATTTGACAACGTGTCTTCACATGTGAGGTTTGAGGCACTTCCTACAGTTTTAGTTGACTTGCTAGCGTAACTTATAGAGGTGGTCAGGCTTAAGTGTGAACTCAATATAAGGCTCCACTATCGTCTTTTCTCACTGACGTGTTGAGTGCTGACTGAGGATGGTCTCTATGGTATCGCAAGATTATTGCATTTCAGCGTTCTCAGATTTTTGCTATGTGTGGGTGCTGCTTTGATGGACCAGAGAAAAGTCGATTTTCTCGTGCTTTCGAATTATCAATCAATCCCTTGAATACAGGAAATTTCACAATTACTTCTAATCGATTAGTAGAACAAGCTGCAATAAGCCCATTCCGATCAAGGAACTTTTAACGAAACCGTTTCCCATTCAGGGAAATTATTTCCATCGTACTCAACAGTCTTCTGGAAATACGGTTATTTTCCACGTTAAATGCTCCAGTCATCCAAAGGGTTATAAGGATGCAAAATATTTGTTCACTATGAAAGTGACGACTGTGCTATCTGAAGCTTTGAAGCAGATGATGCTGTACACATACTCATCGTCTAATGCCTCTTATCCTCCAACGTGGACAAGGTAATTATTTTTCATTAGCATAGTGTTGTTTTTGTAGAAGTCTGTAGAGATCTGTAATTAAATCTACTCTCGACAAAAAAGTGTTTTCCATATTTTGCAATCCACATCGTTATTGCGCCTCAGAGTGTTACACGCATTTGATCCTAACGGAATAAGTCCTAAAAAATCAGGAGAGCTCTAGGCAGTTCTGCCTAATGGGCGGTACTGTTAACGCATTGTATGTCCAAATACTCGGCAGTCGTAATGTAAAAAGTCAAGAGACTGTGTTGGCCCAAAAGACCCGCACGAACATGATTCTGGATGTTTTCTCCAACGAGTAAAACAGATAGAAATAAAAATTGATTTTTGGCAGACCGTCTTCCGATCAACCGCAACATTAGTCGTTTTTCACTCTCATGTCTCTCCTTTCGTAAGTTGACATGAAATTATTAACATGTGATAATTTAGAAGACCGACTTTCCATGACTGTGACAACAGCAACAGTAACAACACCAATGATGATTGTAAATGAATCAGCTGTAGCAGGCACCTAAAGTGCAGTCGTTAGAGATGCCATACAATGTACCATAAGTGGTCGTTGGTTAGTTGCGAAATTCGAAAGGGCCTTCCATCCCTCCGATGCTGACAACTAGGTAGCCGACTTGTCTGAGAGAATAACAGCACTGCCATGATAAATCGGATGACTACCCCAAGACATTGCAATAACCGGATATGCATTCATTATTTTCTAGCAATCTTTGGTGAAGCCGAATGCATGATACAGCCGTGAAGCTTACATCGAGAGTTTTATCTCTTATTTCTTTAGGCTAACTACATGTAGCTTGCACTTACCTTGTGATTGTCTTTTATCAGATTTTTTCTCTACTGTTTTCCTTCTTCCCGGGTTATCACGACTATGATCGATTAAGATGTCATTTTCAGAAATGCCATCTGCGTAATGGCCAGTGTTCTTCTGCCCACTTTGTACTTGTTCTGTAATGAAGTTAACTCAACATTTTCTCACAAAACACATTTGCTTGCGCTATCTTTTGAACGCCTAGAATACAACATAAACACAGGCATAGAATAATAATCCATATTGATCACAACAAGAAGAAATAGCGTCATGTATGAGATTTATGGCGTTTAACTGCTTGATTCGAGACAACTGCTTATAGTCGTTTGCTCTTATGATGTGGGTCTTTGTGGTTGGCATCCGTCGAATCTAATGGAGTGGAGCAATGCTCGACTAAAGATTCCCACGATACAAATCCTTTTGATCAGGACGGTTCTTGATTGAACTATCACAGATGGCTTTTCTTTTTTCATATGACGATCTATTCTGCCGCAGACGCAGTATAATTATTGTAAACCGACTTTATTTCAACTTCATTATGAAGAATCAATGTTTTTTTTTATGGAGTTTAATGAATATGGGGGTGCCGTGGCCGAGGTTTGTAATGCTCGTCGCGGCGCGCGTGGAGCCGAGCTCCACCCACCAACTCTCTCCAGCAGTCAACATCAACGTCTTATGGAATGCCACAGCAAGACTATCCTCGAGATTTCAAGGAGACTCGGTGTATTGTATGACGTTCAAGAAGAAGACGAAAAAAACGAACTGAATGTCAGAAGCACTAGGATTAGCATAGTGAAGAAACACTACGAAGACGGATCAATAAAAATAAAATAAGATGAAATAATAATTAAATACGATCGAAAAAGTACAACACCTCAAAACGATTTTACTAGAAGTTTAATGAGTTGATCAGAAATAACAAAGACAAAGAGAAAAACTTCATGATGAAACATGAACACTAAAAATTGTTCACATATGACATGTAGGCAGGTTTCCTTTGAATCATTAAATGTGTTGCTCAATTTGTTACCAGAGTCAATCCGAATTCATTTATTTACAGCACTTCTTAATATTCAAACCTTGCACTCATTCTCCTTGAAGTTATTTGAAATATTTCGATGTTGCTTTGGTCGTTGTTTGAGGATTTTCACTTACCTTGTTTCTTCATTCCTCCCATCACGATTTACACTGCATTAATCTCCCGCGATGATAAATTTTGTTAAATAGTGTACTTAATTGCGTGAGTATAGACAAGTTCCATCCCTCGTAAAGATTTGTTTGACCAAAAATCTGCAACAGAATATCCGTCGAGCCGGATTCGAACCAAGGGACCTAAGGATTGCTGCAACTCTACAGTACTCCGCTCTACCAAACTGAGCTATCGGACGGTGTGCTTGGTAGGTAGCGGTTCCAAAAAGGAAGGAAAAACGGCTTTGTATGACTAGTATCACAAAGTTCTCTTTAATCAGTCTGAATTCTTTTATTTTGACTGCCATTTGCAGTGGTATGATCTTGTAATATACCCAATAATGTAGAGTGCTGTGCAACAAACATTGGCGTCAGCCGCGATTCGAACCCAGACCTCACTCATTTCCAGAAGCGCATGCTGGATCGTTGCACTATCGACGCTCGTTTTGCACAACACTCACATAGAAAGAACGAGATCTGGGTATCGAATCCCGGCTGGCGCAAATGGTTTTTCACAGCACTCTACATTATTGGGTATGTTACCAGAGTATTAATGAAAACTCAATGGCATGAATTAATAGTAGTTCGTTGAATAAAAGAACCACATTCATGTGTTATGTAATGTTATGGTATACACAAACTGTATATCCCCCGACCTTCATAAATAACTTATTACACAGCCGGTGTTTTTCCATTAGTGTTTTCGAATGAACAACTGCAAGTCGCGACGGGTCTCCATTATTTTCATAGACTCATGGTAAGGGAATGGTCGGTGGGAACTCTTTATTCTACTTCTGCTACCGACACTGGGATACGCAAAAAAAGGCGTCAAAATCTAAGGTTCGTGTTTCCAACATATCATATTGTGGATGCAGAGCGTTCGACATCCGTGTCGAACCTGTAGCAAAAAACGTTTGACAGCTTTGGTTTTTTGTGGTGTGTCTTGTTATTTACGTTTCCATCATTTTGAGATATAAATGATATACATCGATTTATCAAGTTTAATCTTAGTTGTATAATGAGCGATATCAATAAAATCGTGAGTCATGACTCTACAGAGGTGTGAAAATATTTCAGCCAAAATAAGTCTTATTGTATGCAATGAAAACCGTCGAGTCTACAGATTTTGGCATACAAGATAAAACGCTTTCTTGTTTTGCCGAGACGAAGGCCTTATTTTCTGAGATCGCTTAATAGATATAACGGTAGCATCGTGACGGAGTGGTTGTGATGCTTATCGCGGCGCGTGTGGAGCCGATCTCCACCCTCAACTTTCTCCGGCATTAAACAGCAAACGCCCTATGGAACGCCACAGCTAGGCTATCCTTGAGATTGCAAGGAGACTCGCTTGAATGATATTCTACGACGTTCAAGAAGAAGATGAGGAAAACGAATTAAATGCTAGAACTACTAGGTTTCGCACAATGAAAAAAAATAGTGTGAAGACGGATCAATAAAGTGTCTAAAGTGTCAAAATAGATAATTCTTCCACCTTACTACTTCAGATCTCCTATTTCGACCATATGGGCAAGAGATACCAATCCGGCATGGGCAAAATAAAGTTTACTATTGAATCGTTTACGTTTTCAACTGCCTCTCCACAGTTGGAAACTTCAGAACCATAGATTTAGTCACATATATTGACAAGGCTTTAGGCTGCACCATAAATTTATAGAGTACTGAGATCATAAAATGCTTACGATGAGATATTGTCGTTTTACTGGCCAAAAATTCAACTGTGATTCGTGTTAAAATGTATTAAAACAATTCTAATAAGACCTATGGAGCTCGGCTTTCATAAATCCCTGAGGCCTATGCGACGCATGAAATCTCATGAAACATCGTAGTGACAATTGAGTTCATACCTGACACATAAGATGAATAACGACAAACTTTTGCTGCTTCACGATGTGTCACTTTTCCATACTCTCTGGTACCATTTTACGACACCGGAGGACTGGGTTAAAAGGGCATTGGTAAGCCTGGAATGCGCTATTGAATCCACAGCCTCATATCTGGGGCGCGTCTAGGTACTGTTTTATATCCGCTCAGTGGCACTGCCTGCTATTACTGTTACATCTGTTGAACAATGTTATTTCACTAATATTATTTGTTATTTATATAATCTTATGGATGAGCTAAATGCAGTGTTATAAGTGTTTAGGTTGGTGCGTGGTTGCCGTTGATATCGATCGTACCATCCGTTCTCAATGTCATAAGTCTAATTCTTGTACTACTAACAGTTCATCATATAAAACGAACGACGAAAATGGCCAACACGATCTGCTCCAAGTGGGTGAATAGATATGAGACTCGACACCGTAACCATGTCGTAGCGGAAGTGTTACAGTACTCACTTGTTTGCCCGTTGTGCTGCTCGCTTGAGTGTCAGTCCCGCAGCAAAAATGTCGATTATCAAGTATGCCCGAACGAGACCAGAATTTGCCAAATTACTGTCGAAGTCACAAAAAATGTAAGCAGATATTAAGCTGCCTGTCAAATTATGCCATTGAATTCTATTCGTCAATAATCATTAATATCGCAATAAACCTTAAGTCTCAAGTTGCAGTTTGTCTTTTGCTTCTTTTTTACTTTCCTCTTTTTCCATACAAACTACCCCACCGACTGGATCTGCTGGATTTTTGAAAGGAAGTAGGACTCACCCATAAGTTATTGAGCTAAAAAGAAAATTTTAGGGCTCTTGTTAAATATAGGATCTTATGCGGCAGATTTGCTTGTCGTGCCTTCTCCTTCAGCTTCGTCGAGTTATCGACTGCAGCTCATTGTTTGAGACCCTTTTTCCATTGATGATGAAATAAAACACAAAACTTGAATGGTATCGTTGCTCATGGCGGAGTCTTGTAACCAAGCGAAAAACAGAGGCAAAGAATCTTTAGGCCTTCAGTGAGAAAATCCGGCATAAGAAATTGTAATACTCCCATTATTGCATGGAGTTATCTCATGCTTCTCAGGGTGCCCCAGAACTTTCTTTCTCACCGTAGTACGAGAGAATGTATAAGATGACAAGTTTCTGACACTGGATACTTTGATATTGCTCCGAAAAAATCAATGACATTCATTACAACAATCTTTGAACCTCCACTCAATCGAATTAATTATCTACCTAGGAATATGGTAATTAAATGGAATTCTTTTTAGTTATCTGCTTATAGCGGTGGTATGATGTTCCGAATTTTTACTCATTAATGTAAAGTAATGTGCAAACCCTTCGCGTCGGGCGGGACCAGAACTCGCACCTCACTCTTTCCGGGAATGTGTGCTCCATCCATTACACTACTGACGCACATTTTGCACATCGCTCTTTCTACGCTATAGCGCACCTATCTGTCAGCCGCCAGCCGTCAACGGCCTGGCCTGTGTAGTCGGTCTCGACATTGAACCTAATCACGCTGACAGATATTGGGTTATTAAAGATCAAATGATATTCTTTCTATTTAGTCGATTATAGCGGTGTTATGATGGTTACTGTAGCGTAGGTAACGGATAGAGCACGCACTCCCGGAAAGAGTGAGGTGCGGGTTCTAGTCCCGCCTGATGCGAAAGTTTGCTTATTACTCTACATCAATGAATATGGTAATTACGTTGTGATAAACTGGAGTATTGGCGTAGGAGTGCATTTTGCACAACTTTCACCATCTGCTTCGTCACCTTGAAAACGGAAATCTTTTTGTAATACAAAAACCTATGGTTGTTCGAAAGCTTAAATCTTTGGCTGCACCACTACATAGTCGTTTTACGAAAAGATCCTTCTACAACACTGTAGCTTGTGAAATTTAATTTTAAGTTTTACACCCACCGCTAGTCTTCATTTTTATCAAGCGTATAATTCGCCGGAAAGTACGAAAGGCATGCGAACATGTAGAGAAAATCTCTTTGCATATGAGTGAATCGTTTTATCTGGAGTATCTTTTGAGGCAAAGAAGAAATTTCCAACTGAATAGCAAGTTGCACCCCACATGTCCTACGCGTCAGGGCATGGGTCAATCACACACGCCTCCCAGCATGCCTGTAAACAAGCTCGCCGAATATGTGAACCTTAGTGAAACGGTCTTCACAAAAAATAAGTATAGCGCTGGAATCATTCAAACTTACGCTATCGAACAATTACTGATAGTCCAAAGAAAGAGTCTTGTCCTGCGAGTTCGAAGACAAAACTTTTCTTTCTCCTGCAGCGCTTTCAAAAAAGCTCTTCCAAAAGCAAGCACATCTTTGAGTTTTTCGAATTTGTGCCACTGAGAGAGTACTAGCACTTTGAGGAAGGAGTTTGTTCAGAAAAGTATAAGTGAGATAAGGAAAAAATGCGTGTTCGTGCAAAACGTAATTTATTTCGGAATTTACAGCACATTAAAAACGTATGGCTCCCGAATAAATGCTGACAATCCTATGAAAAATTTTTGTCCAACAAATGACGTATTATATTCATTTGTCCGCGGTAACCGAAAAGAAGCAAAGCTATAATTATAAGGGTTGTCCCACTGTACACACAGATCTTGCCCTCCACTCGGGACTACGGTTCTGTTAGAGAAACTGGGCATACTAAACAAACTGCTAACCACATTTATAAGTTGTATATCTTTATGACATGATATCAAAAAAACGAACTTTGGGCTTGTCTAGTTTAAATGACGTTACATTAGCAACAGCAACATAAGTATAATTGTTAGTCTACAATCATCCACTTTATTTGCTGAGCTATCGACGGTTGCAGTAAAGCTCCTATATGGGAAACAAAAAATGCAGTTTAACTGGCTTATACTACGTAACTTTTCTTATTAGACATTCTATAAGAAAACATTCCATTCTAATAGTGATTTGAGGTTAAACTGAGTCTTTTCATTATTATTTGAGCCAACCTGTCATGTAGTCTGGTAAGGACTCTTCTACAGCCCGATACACGTGCTTCGTCCTTACAGACTCGTCAGTCGGGCAGAACCCGTCGTCTTTCGATCTTTTTATAGTCAATTCTCTTGAAAGTCCAGCTCTCCCTACAAAGAGCTATCGAAGACGAACGTTTTACACTCTATGTCAAGTGAAATTTTCACCTAACACAGAGTGTTGCGCACTCGATTGCTTCAAAAAAATAATAATAATGAAGATAAAGATTAAACGAGTTTTCTTTATTTTACATAATTCGTCAACTCAACGGCGATTGCAGCACTTCTTAATATTTAAACCTTGCACTCATTCTCCTTGAATTTATTTGAATATTTCGATGTTGCTTCGGTCGTTGTTTGAGAATTTCCACTTACCTTGTTTCTTCATTCTTCCCCTCACGAAGTACCGCATTATTCTCCCGCGATGATGAATTTTGGTAAATAGTTTACTTAATTGCGCGAGTATAGAAAAGTTCTATCCCTCGTAACGATTTGTTTGACAAAAATCTGCAAAGAAAGCCGTCGAGCCGGATTCGAACCAGCGAT